TATTGTTCTTAAGTCCTGGAGCAAATTCCATCTACCACTGGGTTATTTTACAACTCAGAAGTCCACATGCAAGGCAGAGGAGAAGTAAGAAACTTCCCACATCAGGTCCTCTTGGCTGACAGGACTGACAGGCCCCAGCTCCCAGCTGGAAACAAAGGAGGATGTTTCAATGATTTAGATCCTTCCAGAAGAGCTATAGGTGAGCATTAACATTACTGGTAAGTATATTCATTTTCTCCTGGACACAAGAGCCTACTATTGGGCCCTAAAAGCCTTCTGAGGTCCCAACTCTTCTCACTATTTCTTAGTTGTTGGAATTGACGGATAATGACTTTTTTAAAGACAATGATATTTTTTAAACTACCAGACAAAAAAAGGAAAATAGTAAAACACTTAAATATTTAAAAAGAAATGCACAGTACTAAGGTGTAATAGAGGCACTTAACAATAGTTAACTATGCATAAACTCGTCGAACTATGTATAAATAAAGCTCCATTATCTTTACTTTCTACATCATAAAAAAGTTAAGTGTTTATTAGATGCACAGATTAGGAATTTCATACCATAGGACTCACATTTTCTGAAATACACACACACACAAACACACACACACACACACACACACACACACACATATATATCCATTAAAATAGAATAAAAAAATAAAGCACCAGATTCATACATTATTCTTATGTAGTGTTGAGTTCACTATAACACATAGCAACCTTGTGAACAGCTGGCCTGAAGCCTGCCCTAGCCTGTGCCTCATCCTCATTCTCTCTGACACCCTCGAGCCCTTTGTCACAGTCACTGTATCAATCAATCAATCCATCTTGTTGATTACCTCCCTCTTTTTTACTGAACCTCCATCTTTCCAAGCATGATGTTGTTTTCTACAAATTGGCCCCTTTTACAACATGTCCAAAGTGAGTGAGGTGAAGCCTACTATCCTGCCTTCATGGAGCACTCTGGCTGTACTATCTCCAAAACATTTGTTACTTCTTTTGGAAATCCTTGGGTATTCCGTGCTCTCCTCCAACACCACTACTCAAAGACATTAGTTCTTCTTTGGCCCAATTTTCAGAAGCTTGTATCAGGCACAGTTTAGTGATCTGCCACATGATGCTTGAGAAGATCACCAGTGGCTTCCCAGATCTTACTTTATTCCTGTACGGAGACCTCCTTCTGAGAGACTACTGTGAGGGCAAGGATTGAACATTGTCAAATTAATGTAAGAGGAGCCTAGCAGACCCAAAAAAGAAGCAGGAAACTGAAAGCAAGGGAGTAATAAAGCTGGTGGAACTATATGCAACCGCCTGAAATCATTGAAAAAGAAATTCTTTTTGGTATTATAACTTTGCCGCTATTACTTACTTTTTATTTTGACATTTCCTGTATCAAACAATTTTTTCTCCATAGAATTTTTCACTTTAAATACTCAAAACTTAAATTTTATACTTTTGTTATTCCATTTGGAGAAATATCTAGCATCTTCTTCTCTTTTGGCCTTTACTATTATTTATTTTTTTTAAATAAATCTCTAACTTCTAAGATCACTCTTTAAGCCTTTTTTGTTCAGCTCTTTTGCTTAATTTCTTCCCTTTCATTTTTCTACATTCTACACCAAGTTTCAGAATCTGTTCTGACATCCATCATCTTTTCTTTCCTTTCTGTCTTTTTAATCTTTTATTTTCAACTCCCTCCCCCACATGTCCTTGTTGCCTTTCTACAACTTGTCTGATTTGTGATCCTTAGTGCTCAGTGCATTAAATCTGTTCTTTAGATGGTCTCTAAATTTAGATGGATATAATCAAGGTCATATTTTTCCTCTCATGGACTTCTTTTTATTTTTTAAAAACTTTTTTATTTTATGCTGATTTGCTTTCTTTTTTTTTTTTTTGCTTTCATAGTTTATATACTTGTGTTTCACACTATTCTTCATCCACAATGGATTTTATACAATAATTCCTATGCTTTATGTTTTACAAAATTAATCATCATTGGACTATGCCCATTATTACGCTGTCTTTTTAGGGTCCCGGCCAGAACGTTCCCATTTCCTTTATGCCCTCCATCCACCCACCAAATTGTGCAACCCTATGATTTCAACCCTACCGATCCTCACTTCTCTACTCCCACTCCTTCCCTCCTTGGGTCCTCATACCTGTATACTAGTTATCTTTCTATTTTTACAATAATGGTCTTAGGGAATGTAACTTTTTCCAATAGGGTAAAAATAAAATCTACCAACTGGAGGAAAAAATTTGCCAATATCATCTCAGACAAGGGTCTCATAACAAAAGTTTAAAGAATATTCCTGGGCCTCTAGAAGAAAAAGACAGGTAACCCAATTACAAAATGGGCAAAAGACATGTTTTCATTTTCTGAAGCTTTAACTTGAACTTCCATCTGAATACTTGATAAGTCTACAGTTCCTGTTCTGACAAATGATAATGAACTCTATTGTTTATTTTCATACATGTAATTTTGTATATTCCATTTAGAAAGGATTACATGCATAGTTACTGTTTACTTTTTAAAAAGTGTTTGAAATGAAATGTCATTGGTTGCACAGAATTCTATCACATGATCTTTCAGAAGCATTTCTGTCACCAAAGTAATAATTTCCAAATACTGATTCTTAAAGTCTTTTCTAATCTCTGAGCTAGATTTCTGTGAAATACATATTTTTTTTCAATCATACATGCATTTAATTATATACATGTTAGGGAGATCTAGTGGTTTATTGGTAAGGAGTTGTGCTGTCAATTTAAAGGTACCTGATTTGAATCTACCAGCTGTTCCACAGGAGAAAGGTGGGCAATCTTCTCCCCCAGAGGCCATTTATTGTCTCTGAAAACCCACTGGAGGGTCAGCTATGAGACAATTCCAACTCAAGGGTACATAACCACTATATCCTTATATTGGGCATATTATAGCACAATTATGTATTGACTTTCTTATTTCCTCTCATAAGCTTCAATTTTTTTATAAAAGAACTATTTATTATTTTTTTAAAATACAGATACTAGTATATTGATTAACTATGTGTAAGTAGTTAATAAGTATTTTTTGATAAATGAATGAGAACTATTAAATGAATGTTAGTTTCCAATTTTGAGTTTTTAAAAATGATTGCATTTTCAGCTCAAATTTGTTTTGATAAAATTTGTTTTAGTGCTACTTGAATACATACTTTTTTCTTTAAAAGAAAAAGTAATTCTTTTTCCTATTCAATTTATAGCATATTCTAATAGAGAAAAAAAGCTAAAATATGGATTTAGAAAAGCACTCAATGCTGTATCAGTAGGTAGAAAAATCCACTTACTTCTGGAGAGAACTATCGCAAAAGCAAGTATATCATAAAAGTTCTTCAAAATATTTATAAGGAGACAGATAAAAGTAGTGCAGTCCTTTAGATAAAATGTAATGACCTTAAAATATGAGTCTGTAACTTAAATCTATATCAGGGACAGGAAGAGTTTGAAGGGTTGGGTAAACTGTCTTTTACTCTAAGGCCTTGACTCATTATCCTCATTCTAATAAATGATCTCTGGCCTAGTGGTAAGGAGTTGCACTGCCAAACAAGGGCATGTGGTTTGAATCCACCAGTTGTTCCACAGTAGAAAAATTACCAGTCTCCTCACTTGCGATTTCATGACTCTGAAAAGAAACTGGAAGGTCAGCTACGAGTTGGTTCTGATAATGGTGTACAACAACAATAAGTGTTATTTTTATTATTTTCAATGTCCTAAACACAAATAATAGTAATGTAGCTTTAAGCAAGAATGTAATGTTTCAGTCCTCAGGATGTTTCTATCAAGGATGAGAGAAGGGAAAAGATGTCCTAATGCATGTGGTATATGGTAGAAGTGGTGAATGTTGTAAACACTATTCCATAGAAGCACAGAGAACAGAGGCAAAGGCCATAGGGAAGCCTACACTAAGGACATGAAAATTGATCTAGTATATGAAAATGATGATGGAAAAAGGTATTTCTGGTCAAGGGGCAGTCTGTGGGTGTTTAAAAGCTCCCTGAAAGGAACTCCTATACTACAAGGAAATTTCTTTATCTGCACCTCTGGAAGACAGAAAAATAGTATGATTGGAGTCTACTCTTTTTAGCATAAGTGTTTTTACAGTTCTGAGCCAAAGTTTTCTCATCTATTAAATGATCATAGGTATATGATAAATTTGAGGGTAAATTCACATAAGGATTTAAATAACAGCACTTAGTATAAATGATGTTCAAGAAATCATGTCTCCTTTACCTTCTTTTCCTTTATAAAGTTTCTGCTTTCAGCTCAGTTCCATAGTCTTTTGCATTCTTAAGGTCTGCCTTATTATACAGTTTTGGTAGAGTAAGAGAGAACTATGGCTTGTAGTAAAACAGTATATTTTTGTTTATTCAACCTTGACTTAAATTGCATACATGAATTATATTTATTTGGAAGATGGCATGCGTGTATACCTTTATATGTGGTATTTTTCAAAAATATAAAAACAAATTTTGTAGGGTTTAAAGAAAGTGTATATGACAGAACTGCCATATTTTGTATTCAATCTTCAATTTTACTATATTTCTAAGACGTGACTTAGCCAGGGCTATGGATCACTAATTTAGACTAATTCAATAGGGTTTGAGATAGTGTTCACAAATTAGTATTTTTAGTAATTGCAAATATTATTTCTACAGTGGTCACAGTCTTGGAGAAACACTACTTTTGGATTTTTCTTCTTCTCAGAATAATGCTGCTTGCTTTTAACAGAAACAAGACAAGTTCTATCCTCCTTTCAGTTTGCAAGTATAGCAACATTAATTAATTACTTGCATTTATTGCAAGCCTACTTTGAAGAAATCCTGCTTTGTAGAATGAAAAATTGGCTCATTCTAAATTAAGTGTATATACCAGAAAAGGGTGGTTGTTGATGTTGTTATGTGCCTTCGAGTTGTTTTCGATTCATAGCGACACTATGCACAACAGCCCTAAACCCTGCTCTATCCTGCGCCAACCGCACTGCCT